ACACAGCCTCATTCTACACAGTAGGTATAGTGTTCTTTATCGTATGGTATTTATGGTTTATGGTATTGTTGTGCTCAATATATCTTTTAGAATTCAGGTCTCATCAGATGGTTTTGGATGATATGATTTGGTATTTCTTGCAAACTTTAGATGGCATACATTTTTATGATATACCCAAGATCAACAACCGCAGTCCCTATTGTAAAATAGTGTAAACAATATACAACCAAGCTTTTGTAGGTTAATTTTCAATTAATTTTCCATACAATTATCTATGTCTTTTTCTCCTTTTCTTTGCTGCATGATCCTATTAAAAAATGTTAGAGATTATATATATCTTGATTTCTGGCTTTAGATCAAAAAACCCCTGCAATTTCAGCAAAGGTGTGTAGGCTTGATATCCGATGTTTAACATGTCGCTGTTTCAAACACTCCAGACAAAGTGTGGCGCTGTTGCCTGAGCGCTGAGTGGTTCAGACCCGAACACACTACGCCGTTGTACGAGCGGTTCTGGGAATTTTAGAGCTGCCTGGGGCCAAGCTTGCTAGCTAGCTACAAACAGGCTACTAGACACACATATATCAGTGTTTATAGTTAACATCTGAAAAGATATCAGTTCCGCACAATGAGTGGAATGCCAGGCACTGCTGTAATTCAGATCACCAACCTGTCCTCGTCTGTTAGTAGTGAACAAATGCGAACTCTCTTCGGTTTCCTCGGAGATATCGAAGAGTTGCGACTATACCCCCCTGAGTAAGTGTATGCGTTTGGGCCGCGCCAAGCAAACGCCGAAGATACATTTTTGTGTGGCTTCTGTTAGCCTTAGCAAGGAGGCTGCAGACTTGTGTAGTTACTAACTGAGCTGTGTTTCGTATAAATTTGAAGACTGATGAGTTGACCTAGCTAGCTAGCCGAACATCTCTCCAGGACAACCCATACTAGCGGAGTACCCTTAGCCCCTTAGCTAGCTAGCTAGCTAACCTGCTAGCTACCTACCCACATAGATACTTCACATCTAGTGTTATTCACGTAGCTAACCTAGCTACCTTTGTACGTTAGTTGCTACAGCCAGAGAGTGCACGCACCGAAACCGAACGGGAAATAAAGGAAACCGCTTGCAGGTTGAAGGCCATTTTATGCACTCACTGTGTGGATAAAAGCCATATTCAGCCATTCTTAAATTAGGGTTTAGTGTTTTAATGACCCCGTGAACTGTGAGACAGTGTTGTTACAGTTGACTGACCTAGGTTAAATATTTCGTGTGACAAACATGTTATAAAATGGTTTAGCTTGTCCGTTTATGTAGTGGCGTAACGTTACAATGTCAGGAAAGTCCGACATTTCTGTACCCCCAAACCATTTAGATTTTGTATTTCATCGTTAGAAATTCCGTTTTGTTTAGTATATAACGTTGACATTTGATTGGCCTCATACATTTCAAAAGCAGTTCATAATATCAATATTTAGCTAGGTTAGAGGTTTGCAGCTGTTGATTTTGAGGAGGGAAATCATTTCGGCTCAGTATAAACTAGATTATTTGTAGAGGCTGTTATGATCTGTGACATCTGTCTGGCCCAAATCGATTTAACCTGTCAAATAAGAAGCCTAACAAACCAGAAGCTGCAAATTAGTGGTGGGGAAATAATAATGATGTGATTTCACATTAAGCTTTCCTGAGCATACTATGGAGAACACCGATCAACTGCGTTGATCATTGTTTCATTAAAGTACATTTAGCTGGAGCTGTGTACAGTTTTGCCTCAATCACAGTTGATTCAGTGATTTGCAGTAATTAAATGTTGAATAAAAAGAACATTGAACACAGGTTTTGGCAGCATTTTTAGGTGTTTCACTGCTGTTTTGCTGGTGCGGTTCAAATGTAACTAGCTAAACAAGAGAAAACAAAATACTGGATTTAACTTAGGGTGATTGATGGTTAGGTTCTTAAGTTTGCTGCTGTTTTTCCCCTTGTCTTTGTTGTGCATCTCAGCTGTCTGACACAGCGCATTTGGGAAATGTGTATATGGCCACTTGCTGTTGTCTCTGCAAACTGCAAACATCTCATGATGTTCTACAGAGACGGAGTTCCTGACTAAATTTTAGCTTTACAAAACCTAACATGGAATTGTGGTTAACTCGTTTTATGAAGACAGTTAACAACTTTCTCCTTTAACCCAAGTTTAGATACTCAAGCTATGATTAATCCTCTACATTTATGATAAGCAACCAATTTCATGAAACATGAGGAGTCAAGCTCTTTTTTTTCACTGAAGGAAAAAGAAGTCTACATAACTGTAGACAGTAAAGCATTTAAAATTGTAAAATTAAAGTGTTAGTGCCCTCCCCTAGTGCAGGTTAGTCATGCAGTGTATCCTGGTAAAAAGTCATCCACAGTTCTGAGACAGTAAATCCAAACTGAGCTCAAAGCTGGCTAAACCATAATCCTGTTTTGTGAGACAGGCCTTAGAGCAGATCAACACAGTATCATATAAATGAATTTTTCAAAATGATGATCATAGTATTATCCTAAAAATGCTATCTGTAGTGTAACCTGTTTAAATTTTAATGTCTCTATTTATTGGTTAGTACAGTTTAACACAATCTAAATGTCATTTTAAATAGACATCAAATACATTACAAATAATTTAACTTAGGACACATTAGAAATATTACATTCAAAAGGCTAGTTTCTAGAACTGTTTACATGAATACATAGATATTAATGCATTTAGATAAGCTGGGGGTCTATTGCACAAAGCTGGATTTCCCGGTTAGCCAGATAACCAAAAATGAGGATTGTCCAATAGGAATGTCCCTCAGCTCTGTTCCTATTGGACAAGCTTGACGTAAGCTTTGGGCTAAATTCCCCAAAATCTGGCTAAACTGAGAAATTCTGCTTTCTGATCTTAGTTTTGTTTGCCATTAGCCCACTGGGTAGAATAATTCAAGAACATTTTCCAAAAGAAAAATAAATGCTGCTCAATGTGTATGCTCGCATCCTTGAAAAAGTCCCTGACCACAAAAAAAAGTGCGCAAGGTACAGATAGGGGCCCACCAAACATTTGTGCCCAGGTGCCTTTATTTTAATGATCCTTCTCTGCATGTCAGACAAGCATCTCTAAGTGTCTTTCCATGATTTTTAATATGTTCATGCAAAATAGACCTTCGTACATTCCAATCTTAAGAAAATATTAAAAAACATTTAATTTGATTTTAAAAATTGCGCTGCATACGTGCTCTGTCAATTTTCAGTGAAATGTTTGGCTGAAATAGGTTTCTCCTCTGTTCTCTTTCAGCAATACGCCGCTTTCCTTCTCATCTAAAGTTTGTTACATAAAATACAGAGAGCCGAGCAGTGTTGGCGTGGCACAGCATTTAACCAACACTGTGTTTATTGACAGAGCTCTTATTGTTGTGCCATGTGCAGAAGGTTAGTAATTTCTATCTTATATCCACATTTTGTATCTGACACATGCTTTTAAGGGGGCACATAGCCCTCTCAGGAGGTCTACTTTCACAGGCTACCTGACAGCCTATTTTGTGCCTCTGTTTCTCACGTGTGCCATCATTGTTACATGCTGAGCTAGTGGGTGTAGTAAGAGGAAGCTTGTGTTGTTAAATATAGACTTACGTTGGTAGTGTGCAGTTAAATGGTATAAAACTATTAAAAAAAATGAAAAGGTCACTACTTTCTCGCTGTTATGCTTTCTTAAAGTGGTTATGTGTAGCTGAGCTTTGCTTACTAGTAAACTTTTCACTGTTTCAGTAAGAACCAGTTCTACCCAGTAGTGTATGGTAAAGAGCTAATCAGGATTTGTTGAAACATACTGCTAATAGGAGAGCATACTGAACACATACAGAAGTAAGTCTCATTTTATTGTAGTTGTATAAATCCCTTTGTGGTTGCAGTACCAGGAGCTAGCTTGCTTGTTGGCACAATTGCAGAATATCAGTATGCTTGTATTGTGTTAATACTGCAGCCATGGAAAGATCTGTTTTAGAAAGAGGGTAATTTCAGAGTTACAGTACAGTATGTGCCTAACCTTCCATGTCCTTTCTCTTTTTTATGTTCTTTTTGCCTCTTAAACAAAATAAAATATCCATTTTTTTATGAAAAGCTGCTGTTCTGTCCTTCAAAACACTGCTTGTCCTCGTGACTTGGTGCTACTGGATGGCTTACTGCGTTGATTAATTTGGTTTCTGTATGTTTTTTCTGTGTTGATTATGTGTGCATATCAGATGACTAGAGTGGCCCAGGCGTTACAGTACTACACTAGCCTGACTCAAGGCTTTGTTTTCCAAGCCACTAAACCCGCTGGGGCCCACGCTGCCTTCAAGGGGGGATTGTGACCAGGATCGTAGCCGCTGAACCTTCCAAGATGGACACCTTGTCTCTTTTTTTTTATTTTTTTCGTTTTTTTTTTTTGTTTGTTTGATTGTTTATTTGTTTGTTTTTTCTGACATTGTCCGTTGTTTGCCACTTAGAAAAGCCTGTTGCATATTCATTGTGTTGTTTTCTTCATTTTGTTTTTTTTTTTTTTTTTTATTTTCTGTCCCCAATCCCTTCCCTTCCTCCCTTTCCTAATCTAGTTGCACTCTTTTTGCGTATCTCTCAGTGCTGTCCAGGTTGGTGTCCAGTAATGGAGGGAGATTTGAACGGTATACAGGCAGCTGTGACTGGCGTTTACCCCTCTCTCTCTCTCTCTCTCGCTCTCTCTCTTTCTCACTTTTTCTCTCTCTCTTTCTTGTGCTTCTGCATTGAAATGGTCACGGTTTCACTTTGACTGAAGGGGCCTTTACAATACCCAGAAATACATCTTCAGAGACACAAAGTGTGTGTGTGTGTGTGTGTACATATATATATATATATATATATATATATATATATATATTATATATATATATATAACTTCTTCAGTCCTGGTCATGAGACTGGAATCACAAGGCCTACAATAGTTTAACACGTGTGTGTGTGTGTGTGTGTGTGTGTGTGTGTGTGTGTGTGTGTGTATATATATATATATATATATACACACACACGTGCGTTAAACTATTGTAGGCCTTGTGATTCCAGTCTCATGACCAGGACTGAAGATGTTATAGTGGTGATAGTATCATATGTATTAATATTGGTCATTTAGTTAAGGGGGTACCACAGATTTGTATTTATTTCTACATAATTCAATGGTTGAGATGTAAACAAACTCATTCAGAGTGGTCTGATGTGAAATGGTTGATTGTAGCAAAACTTACCAACTCATTTTCTTTATAGTGGTGATGATAGAAATTGAGATATGAGATGAAATGAAATGAATGAGATGAAAATGACATAGGTATTATTTTGTCTTAAACACCCTGCATGTACTCCTCTGCTCTAAATGTGTTTTTAAATGCTTTTTAGACCAAAGTCTGCATATTTGTAGGTATTTTTTGTTATGACTTTCTGTGAGGTAGCTTATAGAGCTGTTAAACTCTGACCTCTGGTTTCTGTAACCACTGCTGTGGACAATTCTGACTCTTAAGTTTCTCTAGAATGGAGCATTTGTCATCAAACCACTCTGAATGACTGTACTTATGTCCTAACAATTTAATAATGCAGAAGAAAATTCGATGGAATTCCCTTTTTGTTCTGGCCTGGAACTTACTAATGCTCAGATCCATGTAAGCTTATTTTTTCTTCACCCACGTTATTTCCTTCGAGCCACTCAAACACCAGTACTTAATTTTTGAAGATCATTATCACTTAATGCATTACGCATGCATAAAATATCTGTTTTACTGAGACTGTCTGAGTAACCTATAGGGTTAAAAAAATGAAACTTGTGTTTCATTTAGCAGGTTTCTTTGGCAGGCACTTTTTTGGGGGGAAGGGATTTTGGAAAGACACTTAAAATGTTCTTTTCTTCTGTATCTGATGTTCTGTGTGCTATTAGTGATGCAGCCAACATGAACGGTTGTCTTGTGTTGCACACCCTTTCCAACACTGCGACACGATCGCCCCAGGGAGAAAAGCGCCCATGCTTGATATCGTATGGTTCATGACCATTATGTTTCCAGTACAGGTGACCCATACCACAAAGTGTATTCTCTACATTTCTGTTGATCTTAAAAGAAAGAAAGAAAGAGAGGAGACGGAAAATTTTTTCTTTGGTTTTGTTTTGTGAATAAAAAACATCTTCATGTTTACAGTTTTGTGCTGCTAGTATGAAGATAGTAAAGTGAAAAAGGTTAACAACTATATTAGTTAATTGGACTAGTGACAGGATGTATGGACTCAGATATGATTGGTTAGAGATCTAAGGTGTATGATGGACCTTTTCTCTCTCTCTTGTATGCAGTTAGAAGGGAGAAAGTTGTGTAGCTCTCCATGACTCACTCTAATGCCAGCACTCTTGCCCCACAGGAAAGATCCCTGAGGAAGCCAAGGCTCTGTCCCTTCTGGCACCTGCCACCCCGGTCGCCAGCTTGATGCCAGGTGGGGGACTGCTGCCCATCCCAAGCCCTGCCCCACTTCAGAATGTGAGTAAATGCCTGCTCTTTTTTAGCAAAATCATTGCTAAGTAATTAGTATAATCTTACTAATAATAAACATGGGGTTAGGATAAGAAAGCGCTAACACTGTACGCAACTGTATACATTAGAGCTACCATGACATGAACAAAAATGAATAAAATACACATTGTGATTGTACTGGAAAATTTGTAGTACGTTAAAAAAAAACAGCCTATAGCAGTTTAGCTCCACCCATTGAAATTTTAGTGTGCATTTCAGCCCAGACTGATTATTGACTGAGGCACAAGACAGGGCAGCCAGTCAGAACAGAGATCATTGACATATGTCAGTCTTAAAGGCACAGCCACAAACACAGCCTGTTTACTTGTAAGGGATAAAAAAAAAAGGTTGGAAAATGGTCAAAATGAATTATGACTGTCTTTGGTTCATAAACCACACAAATGTTATAAACAGACTAGGGATGCATCGATGACATTTTTCCAGATCGAGTATGAGTACATATGTTTTAATATAGAGTCTGATACCCTACTGAGTAACCTACTTAGAATTAAGTAGTTGTTAGTGTAAATGAGTACAGTGTGCCTTAATAGTTAAATCATTAAAATCTAACTGATTTGATATGAAGTACATTAGCTAGCTGTGTTACATTAGCTACTTTGGATCAAGTAGCGCTGCAGTGGAGAAGAGTGGGCTTTGTCAGAAAAGCTCTTCTGTACAGCTGTAAGTAAAGTGACAGCAGGAATCTCACAAGGATAATGCGTCAGGAGGAGCTACGTGCTACATGAAACACAGCCCTTACAGACAACACTGTATGAACAATTTCAAACAAAGCTGTTTCATTCAAAATAACACACTGCACGTTGAGTACTAAGCAAGCACACTGAGAAACTCCACAGCGCTGCTAACACTGCACTGCACCTAAAACCAGGTGGTGATGTACAAGGTAGGCTCTCTATAGCCTATTTTACAAAGATATCACCATATTAATGTTTATAACTCACTGTTCTATTCAGTCAAACAGCATAAACTTGGCATATATGAATTTTGTTATCAAATGTTGACTTTTTCGCCTCTGTGAAGCTGGCCTATATGTGTCCACCTGTGTTGGGGAAATGGTGACTGTATTTGTGTGTATCACATGGTATCAGCTGGTATCAGAATGTTAGTATCGGTGAATTTTTATGAGGTCGAGTATGAGTAAATCAGCATTGGAATGAATGCCACGAGAGATGATGTAGGACGTAGGGATTTTATATCAGTATTGGCTCCTTCAGTTGCCATCCTCGTTGTGCCTACTTAACCTTGTTTGCTATGTGTGCTTTCAGCTTGGTCTGCCACTGGCTGGCCGGGGGACGATGTCAGCTGGTCTGGACTCCTCAGTGGCAGCACTAAGCGTAATCCCCTCCCAGCCTCCCATCATGGGCAACGTGGACCCCTCCAAAATTGATGAGATCCGGAGGACTGTATATGTCGGCAATCTTAATTCTCAGGTATCCAGTCGAAACTCTTCATTTGTATAATTGGATGACTTTAAATGTTCAACAGCCAGATTTCCTCATTGATTTCTCTAAAACAGGCCCCATAATATTATCATGATACTTGAGCCACCATATGATTTTACTAGTTTTTAAAGATTTGTGATATACTAAATATTGTAATATGATCATTGTAATATAATGCATTTTATTACTTCATCTGCAACTAATGCCTCCCAAAGAGAACTTTATTTAGTGAAGTTTACACTTTGTTGGTCTCAAACCCCCCCACCACCCTTTTTTATTTATTTATTTATACTTAAATCACAAGTGAAAAAGCAACATGAAAGTGACAAAGCAATATTTCAGGAAAACCTAAAAACCTTCCTCCTATAAGTCTGTAGTTTTTTCACATAGTGCTTTTTTGTTTACCTCTACAAACTGCAGGTCACAGAAATGAGCCTGCATGTCTTGCTGTGAATATCTAGCCAGCACTCTAAGTGCCTTTCCCTTTCTGCCTCCATAGACCACCACAGCAGAGCAGCTGCTGGAGTTTTTTAAGCAGGTTGGTGAAGTGAAGTTTGTGCGAATGGCGGGAGATGAGACACAACCCACCCGCTTTGCATTTGTAGAGTTTGCCAACCAAGAGTCTGTGGCAAGAGCGCTCGCCTTCAATGGAGTCATGTTTGGAGACAGACCCTTAAAGTAAGTCACTGGATCTCTGCCTCATTTGTGCTGTCTCAGAAATTTGTGCTGTCAGGAAGTGAAGGCTGCCACTATCGCATGTTTTAATTTTTTAATATTCTGTTGAATATTATCTTGAATATTTGAATATTCTGTATTAATAAGCAAAGCTTAAGATAAAGTATGTTGACACCCATCTTAATTATTGAGTTCAGATACTTCAGCCACATTCATTGCTAATAGGTGGGTAAAATCAAGCACAGTCTGCATAGACAGACATCCCACTATGCAAAGTATGCAAAGGCGTTTTAGACAATTATGTGCTTCCAACTTTGTGGCAACAGTTTGTGGCAACAGTTTTCCTGATCCAGCGTGACTTTGCCCCTGTGCACAATGTGAGGTCCATAAAGACATGGTTTAATGAGTTTGGCCTGCACAGAGCCCTGACCTGGCTCTGGACAGCCAGCTCGCAAGCCATAATGCTGTCATTGTTTCTTGCAAAAAAATGCAGTGGAAAGCATGTTAGCTAGCACCCCAGAGCAGTTGCAAAAGCATTTGGACCGGGTGATAAAACTATCATTATAATAGAGTTTGGCTTCATGAACAAAATTTAGTTTCAGACTGATACAAACCGATGCACAGAAGAGCATGTTTTCAGAAAAAAACAAATTTATTTGATTAAATATGAATTTAATCAAATGTTATCCAGTATCCATAGAGGATATTGGATAAGCATGTTTGATTATTTTTGATTAAGATTAGCAAAGGATTTTTGGTTGGTAGTGAAACGTTATGGGTTTCTTTGGTGTAAATTCTTTTAGAGGCTTGTGTGCTTATATGTTTGTTATATTTTGATTCTCCTTATAATAGGAGTCATAGATCGTCTCATTTGACTAAATTTATTGCAAAATTTATATACAGTTTTATTGTACTTATTACAAGTTTAACACTCAATCTTCTGCATCAATTCTTGTCATGTATGCTTTTAGGATCAACCATTCCAACAATGCCATAGTGAAGCCTCCAGAGCTGACACCACAGGCTGCAGCTAAAGAGCTGGAAGATGTGATGAAGAGAGTGAGAGAGGCTCAGTCCACCATTGCAGCAGCCATCGAACCAGGTGCAGTCACACCAAACCGTACCTCAATCACAGACTTGACAATGCTACTATGAATGCAAAGTGATGGTCATTCAATGTATGTTAACATGCTTTTTTGCTGAATGGCATATTTGTCGTTGGACACGTGCATAGCAGAGAGCAAGAAACGCTCATCCAGTAGATCCAAGCGCTCCAGAAGGTCCCGGTCCAGATCTCGCTCACATTCTCACTCACGTTCCCGTTCCTGCTTGCGACGGAAATGCTCCCGATCTAGACACAGGTAGGCCAAATTCCACTTATTTTAATTCTCGTAACAGTTAAGCTGAAAGAGCATTACATGTGGAGGTGCTGTAATTTAAGTGATCACAGACAGGATTTGTGTGTTTAATCCAGTGCGAGTTTCCTGTTCCTGAGAAATCATGACATTATAAAAATGAAATTAGAGCAAAAAAGTTTTGAAAAATGAACAAAAGGCTACATATCCCATGCAGCAATGTGAATTGTGAATGGTTTCACTCTTGTTTTCACCAATTTTTGCAGTCCTGTTTTTTCTATTTCTATTTCTGTATGTACATCTTTTATTTATTTATTTATTTTTATTTTGCTTATGATTTTTGTTTAACTCTTTAGGAATTATATTAATCCTGATATGGCCTATATTCTTATTTTACTCAGTGAAGTGCTCCCAAGGGAGAAATATAATTACTGAAAGGGAACTTGCTGCATTATTGTGTGAAGAAATTGGGATCTGTGTCATTGTCATCTTGCTGGTTGGTTTCCTCCCTTTGTCATGCACACAAAAGTGCCTTGAATGCTATTAGCTCACCCTTGTGGAGAAGTATAACCTGACTACCATTGACAACTAATTATTGATGATTTTTGATCATTGTTGATTTTTAATACCAAGTAAGTCCACTGAATTGAGAAATTTCCCACGCCTTCCAGGGGCTTTGTGCAACTTCAAGAAAAATACAATGTGCAGCACACTGAGACCTCTGGTCTGGAAATGGAAAGTGCTGTGCTAAGTCAGTTCACTACTTTGACACTAAACTCTCCCGAAACATTTTGTCTGATTTGATTTTAGAGGAAAGACGTCGCAGAGGTCACGGCAAAGAACGAGCGACTCGCAGAGTTTACACAAGAGACACTCGCGATCCAAAGAGAAGAGACACAGCCGTTCACGATCGCGCTCCAGGTCAGACCACAGGCACTGGACTCATTCAGAAACTATGACTTAATCCATCACCTACCCACACACCACAGTCCTTTGCTATATATTTGGGGGTGGCTTAGGGTAAGTTTCACAGTTCTAGTTCTAGAAGTCTTAGTTCATCTGTTTAGGCTTTTAGAAATGCTCTGCTTAATTTGACTATGACAAATTGTGTACTTTATACATGCGTCCTCATCTGCCTCTTGGATGACAGCTGAATTTTCTTACTATTTGGGATTTGTTAAAAGTATCACAAGCATCACAACATGTCTGCTACCAAGCCTTTGATTTCATATCAGTGCTGACTTACAGCGGAAGTGTTATGCTGGTCTATTTACAGAGTTGGGCAAAGTACTTTGATAAAGTATTGGCGGCTGAATTTCATGAAAAATTGGCTTCTTATTTGGGTTGGGGTTAGGGGTGTGGTTATCATTGCTAAATTAATTAATGTTAGCTAGGTTGTGGGTTAGCCAACCACAAAGCTAACCACTAACATTAGCAAACGGGACAGAACAATACTGACCTACTTACTGATTCTTTAAAACCCACAAATAAGTCAATTTTATCCACCTGTCAGGCAGAAATAGAGCAACATCCTCGTTCCTTTTCAACTCTTGATGAAGCTGTAGTTGGGTTCTTTTCTACCAGCTTCTTGTTCAGATTTTCCTGTTTTGCCTTAAATGTAGCAGCAGTTACATTCTGGCGTTTCAGGCTAGCATAGCCATTAAATAACCAGAGCCTACACAACCGGCGCAGCTAACAAGACAAAACAATCCTCCTGTTTCACGAATGGGTTTTTAAATGTACTGAAAAGGCTAAAAGGGTTTTTGTAGTTCTGCATCTTATGTTTAAGCTGTAGATTATAGGAGGTCAAGCTAGTGCAGTGTAAACTAGGTTAAGATTAATGCTTGCTTGCTAACATGTTAATAGAAATGAATCCTCAAAGCTTTGACAACAAACTCAACTAGAAAGGGAAAGTTCGTGAACGAACTTTAAGTTGGCTTGAAAAAGTTAGTTACGTTAAAACGTTAAAATGGATGAAGACTGTTGATAGTTGTTAAAATGTTGCCAAAATGTTGTTTAATTGTGTGTGTGTGTGGGTCTGTTGAGTGTGTGCTGTGGCAAGTGTTGAGTGTGTGTGGTTTGTTGGGTGTATTGAGTGTGTGTGGTGTCATGTATGTTGAGTATGTGCTGTGTGTTAATTGTGTGGAGAGTCTGTGGTGTGTTAATTGTGTGGAGTGTGTGTGTGGTGTGTTGAGTGTGTGTGTGTGTGTGTGTGTGTGTGTGTGTGTGTGTGGGTGTATTGAGTGTGTGTGTGGGTTTGTCGAGTGTGTGGTATAGGGAGTGTTGAATGTGGTTTGTTGAGTGTGTTAAGTGTGTGTGGTGTCGGGTATGTTGAGTATGTGCTGTGTGTTAATTGTGTGTGTGGGGGTGTGTTGAGTGTCTGTATGAAGGTGTTTTCAGAGTGTGGTGTGGGGAGTGTTGAGTGTGTGGTATTTTGCGTGTGTGTGCTGTGAGCTTGGTTGAGTGGGTGGTGTGGGGTGTTTTAAGTGTGTGGTGTTTTGTATGTTGAGTGTGTTTTTTTGTATTGTGTGTGGTGTGTTAAGTGTGTGTGGTGTGTGTTGAGAGTATGTGGTGTGGGGCGTTGAGTTTTTGTTGTGTTTATTGTGTGAGGTGTATGGTTGTGTTTTTGTGTCTGATTTGTTTATGGTGGGGGTTGTGTTTATTGTGTGTGGTGTGGAGTGTGTGTTTTGTATTTATGTGTGTTGTGTGTTTACTGTGTGTGGTGTTGTGTATTGTGTCTTTGTGTGTGGTGTGGGTGTGTGTGCTGTGTTTATTGTGTGTGGTGTGGGGTGTGTTGAGTGTGTGTTGTGTGTTTATTGTGTGTGGTGGGGGTGTGTTGAGTGTGTGTGTGGTGTGTTTATTGTGTGTTTACTGTGTGGTGTGGGGTGTATTGTGTGTATATTTTGTGTGGTGTGAGGTGTGTTGAGTCTGTGTTGTGGATTTATTGTGTGTGGTGTGGGGTGTGTTGAGAGTGTGTGGTGTGTTGAGTGTGTGTGTGGTGTGGGGTGTGTTGTGTGTTTATTGTGTGTAGTGAGGTGTGTTTATTGTGTGTAGTGTGAAGTGTGTTTATTGTGTGTAGTGTGAGGTGTGTTGCGAGTGTGTGGTGTGGGGTGTGTTGTGTGTTTATTGTGTGTAGTGTGAGGTGTGTTTATTGTGTGTAGTGTGAGGTGTGTTTATTGTGTGTGGTGTGGGGTGTATTGAGTGTGTGTTGTGTGTTTATGTGTGGGGTGTGTTTATTGTGTGTGGTGTGGGATGTGTTGAGTGTGTGTTAAATTCTGTGCCACCTTAATTTTAGTGCTGTTTATTGAAGTTCCACCTTAAATTCTGTTCCACCTTAAATTTAGTGATATGTTAATAGCAGTTCCACCTTAAATTTAATGCTATGTTAATTGAAGTTCCACTTTAAATTCTATGCCACCATAATTTTAGTGCTGTTTATTGAAGTTCCACCTTAAATTCTGTTCCACCTTAAATTTATTGATATGTTAAGAGCAGTTCCACCTTAAATTTAATGCTATGTTAATTGAAGTTCCACCTTAAATTCTGTGCCATCATAAATTTAGTGCCACGTTAATGGAAGTTCCAACTTAAATTTAGTGATATGTTAATAGCAGTTCCACCTTAAATTTAATGCTATGTTAATTGAATTTCCACCTTAAATTCTGTGCCATCATAAATTTAGTGTCAGTGTAAACTCAGTGATACCTTAAAAGAAGTTCCACCTTAAAATTCAGTGCTACCTAAGTGCAATTCCACCTTAAAAGCAGTTCCACCTTAAAAAATCATTATCTGTGGTGATACTGCTGAGCATTAGGCTGTGAGCATGGGAGACATTGGGCTCCGTGCGTGAGTTTGTATGTGTGTGTGAGAGAGGTGGCCATTGTGACATCATGTGTGGCATGTTGCCAACATTCCGCCCATTCATTCCCTATGGGAAAAAATATTGTCTTTGAATGCTAATTTTCCAAAAATTAGCAGTCAAAGACAACCTTTACCTTAAATTCTGTGCCATGTTAATTTTAGTACTACCTTAAACAGAGTTCCACCTTAAATTCTGTGCCACCTTTATTTTAGTTCTCCATTAAAGAGAGTTCCACCTCAAAATCTGTGCCACCTTAAATGTATTGCTATTTAAATTGCAGTGCCACCTTGACTGACGTTCCACCTTAAATTCTGTGCCTCCTTAAATTTAGTGCCATGTTAATTGAAGTTCCACCTTAAATTTAATGCTATGTTAATTCAAATTCTACTCTTAAGTTCTATGCCACCTTAAATTTAGTGCTATGGTAATTGAAGTTCCACCTTAAATTCTGTGCCATCTTGAATTTAGTGCTATGTTAATAGCGGTTCCACCTTAAATTTAATACTATGTTAATTGAAATTCCACCCTATATTCTGTGCCATCTTAAATTTAGTGCTATGTTAATAGCGGTTCCTCCTTAAATTTAATGCTGTGTTAATTGCTGTGGCACCTTACTTTTATTGCAATGTTAATTGAAGTTCCACCTTAACTATTGTTCCACCTTAAATTGAGTGTTATTGCTATGGTATGGCAATTGCTATGGTAATTGCGGTTTCACCTTAAATTTAATGCTATGTTAATTGAGGTTCCACCTTAAATTCTGTGCCATCTTAAATTTAGTATTAAGTTAATACCGGTTCCACCTTAAAGTTAATGCTATGCTAATTGAAATTCCACCTTAAAGTTTGTGCCGTCTTAAATTTAGTGCTATGGTAATTGAAGTTCCACCTTAAATTCTGTGCCTCCTTAAAGCTAGTCCAATGTTAATTGAAGTTCCACCTTTAATTCATTGCTAATTTAAATGCAGTTCCGCCTTAATTTCAGTGTCAGTGTAAATTCAGTGCTACCTTAAAAGCAGTTCCACCTTAAAAATCTCATTATGTGTGCTAATACTGCTGAGCATTAGGCTGTAAGCATAGGAGACATTGGGCTCTGTGCGTGAGTTTGGATGTGTGTGTGAGAGAGGTGGCCATTGTGACATCATGTGTGGCATGCTGCCAACATTCCGCCCATTCATTCCCTATGGGAAAAAATATCGACTTTGAACGTTAATTGAACCGTACGTCTGATCACTTAGAAAAGCACAAGCACACCCCGCGGGTATAGGATCTACGATCCTGCAAAGTTTCGTGGCTCTAGCTCGAAAACTGTAGGAGGAGTAGCATTTAGTTTTTTGAGTATAGAATAATAATAATAATTAGAAAGGGAAAGTTCGTGAACGAACTTTAAGTTGGCTTGAAAAAGCCAGTTAATTACGTTAAAATGTTAAAACGGTTGAAGACTGCTGATAGTTGTTAAAATGTTGCCAAAATTTTATTAAGCAGAAGCTGCAGTATCTGTCGTGGATGGTAATTCATTGCTAGGTGCTACCATGAATGAAGTTCAACCTTACAGTCTGTGCCACGTTAAATTTAGTGCTATGTTATTTGAAGTTCCACCTTAAATTCTGTAATTCCTTAAATTTAGTGCTATGTTAATTGCAGTGCCACCTTAATTTTAGTTCCACCTTAAAAAATTCATTTGTTGCTAGGTGCTACCGTGAATGAAATTCCACCTTAAATTCTGTGCCATGTTAATTTTAGTGCTACCTTAAATGGAGTTCCGCCTTAAATTCTGTCCCACCTTTATTTTAGTTCTCCATTAAAGAGAGTTCCACCTCAAAATCTGTGCCACCTTAAATTTATTGCTATTTAAATTGCAGTGCCACCTTGACTGACGTTCCACCTTAAATTCTGTGCCTCCTTTATTTTAGTGCTATGTTAATTGAAGTTCCACTTTAAATTCTGTGCCATCTTAATTTTTGTTCTACCGTAAATAAAGTTCCACCTTAAAGTCTATGCCACCTTAAATTTAGTTCTATGTTAATTCTAGTGCCACCTTAAAAGAAGTTCTGTCTGTT